TCAGAGCTCGCGCCTTGAGCGTACTGCCGTGCCGAGCTGTCGCCTCTGCCACGTGTTGAGTGGTCAAGAGGTCGGGCCAAATCTTCCTTCATCAGAGTCCTTGATGTGTCTCCGACGAGCTGGTTCTGATGTCATCCTTACATACTTCGCTCTACAAGCTGCTAGATGTTTATGTGGCGAGAAGAAGTGAGAAGAGACTGGGGAGTGTAATCATAATGAATCTGGAGTACAACCAGAGTTATCTGTATCTAATATATTTAAATGTGACATGATAATTAATCTTAGATGGGAATAAGATGCTTAAAGCTGTTACTGCACAATGTTTCAATCTCATATCACTCAAATGAAGGTAAGTGATGAGGAGAATCAAGTGATGAAGGAAGAAAAGGTGAAAGTAAAATGAAGGAAGAAAAGGAGAATCAAGTGATGAGGAGAGAAAGAAAAGCGATGGCATAGTCTTTATATCAAAGAAGCAAATCCATAGAACTGGTAATGGACTGGTTCGAGGATTCAGCTCTGTTGCAGGGAACCTCTTCGGGATCCCTCAAAGCAGTAGAAGGATTATCAAGTTGCAGGTCACTGAGCACTTGTTGCAGTTCGGAAGCTTCTTCTCTGAGCCGGGCCATTCTCTTGGAGGACCTGGTCATGGCACTCTGAGATATGGTTCAACTTGTCTATGAGCTGGCGGTTCTCAGTTCTAAGCCGGATGACCTGTGACCACAACTCATCCAGGTGCTTCTGCTTCCGCATCCGTGACCTGCGAGNCTTGTCTATGAGCTGGCGGTTCTCAGTTCTAAGCCGGATGACCTGTGACCACAACTCATCCAGGTGCTTCTGCTTCCGCATCCGTGACCTGCGAGCAGATTCTCTATTAGATATCATTCTCCTCTGCTTCCTCTCATCAATGATTCTCAACTGCTGCTCATCTGCTTCATCCGAGGTTGAGTTACTGCTGAGACATGAAGACTGAGGATTGAATTCATGCACTGGAGGGGGGATCTGAGGACTAGGAAGAGGCCTTAGGAGTCTGCTGAGATGGTATAAGGGGATGTTGCTCTGCATCGTGCTAAAATTAAAGTGAGCTGTGTAGGGGCTTKGCTCTGCAGGTGCCAGGTACCTTAGTCCAGCGACCTCACCTGGCTGCATGACCTAAACTCTACGGTGAAGTTTGGGGGTTGTTTTGTTTCTTCTTGGGCTTGAGCTTGGGGAAGGAGAAAGGAAGCTTTGCCGAGAGAATTAATTGCAGGGTGTTGGAGAAGAAGGGGGGAGGAATGCACGAGGAGTGGAGGTGTTTATAGGAGAAAAGTTAGATGAGTAGCCCACATTAGGCAACTAAGATAAACAGTACCAAGAGTTTCTTAAAGAGCAGACAACAGACATCCATAGGTATGCCGTGCACTTGATGCTGGTCATGGACATGTATGCATGTGGTTGCATGATTGCATCTTTGTGTGTGAGTGGGAATAACACTGGCTTTATGTGAGACATTATGGGCCCGGGTCAATGGTCGAATGCATGCATGAACCTTAATCTTTCATGCATGCATGTGCTTCCATGGGGAATGTGGGTTAGGGGTACTAGTTAAGATCACATAGTAATGCTTAATTATGTAAGATGAGAGAGAAGTTGATGCTATGGGATGTATAATTAATTAAAGAAATGGGGAATGTTTTGGAAAAGGAAAGGTGAGCAGAATAATGTGGATGAAGGCAATCTTAAAAGAGTTTTTAATAGATTTCTTCTAGTTGTAGTGAGCTGAGACAATCACTGCCTCTGTAATCTTAAAACATTCTTAGTGCCCGTTTGGGAGGGCTTTCAGGCAGCGGCTTCTGGCATTGCTAGGTAGGTTAGTCTTATGCTGAAAGCTGTGAAACTGTGTTCGGTGAAAAGCCTGAAAAGCCACAAATACATATATTTGAGCCAAAATCACTTTCCGGTGAAGCTATTTTTGGTAGCTTTTCTGAAGTGGTTCGGTCAATGCAACTCAAATCAACACTGGAGTCCTCTCAAATTGGCTCTTTGTACCTGTTTGGTAGGGATGAAGCGCAGTGGCTTCTGACTTTTTGAGGTGAGCTCTACACGGACAGACTTTAAGTTTTTCTTGATGAAAAATCCAGAGAGACCACCAAATTGGCTGTTGGTCTGTCAATTTTTTGGAAGCCTCTTTAAATAACCTATCTGAAACACCTCAAACAGCTGAATCAATTTGGCTGAATGTTCATCTTTGCCCTCCCAAACGGTCCCAGGAATGGTTGACTTGACAAGCTCAATTCCCTCACTTAGCAAAGAGCCAAAAAAGTTAATGAAAATGTTAATGATGACTCGACGACCACTGCAAATAGGACCATGATGACATCACAAGAAAATGACCAAGGGACTCCCTAAAATGCCTAAAAGGTCCCTGGATATATTATCATTTTTCCAACACTACTACCCCTCAATTGGATGTTGAGAAAACGACACAACTTTAACTTTGCCCAAAGCAGACCCCGAATCATTCCACCATATAAAATCCACCCTCCAGTTCTTTGAACAGATTTTAGGACAACATGTTAACACTGTAAAATCTGATGTGATGTTTAGCAAAAACATGCATAGAACCTACTAAAAGTTGTTGAACCATATAGTTAAAGTGAAAATTATAAATTACAGTTCAAAATATCTGGGAACCTGGCTGGTAGATGGGGAAAATGGTGTAAATCACAACAAACATCAATTGTTAGACAGCTTCTCCCAAAGGATAGAGCACTGGCAAGCAAAAACCTTGTCCCAACTCCCAAGCAAGTCGTACAACACTCATTAAAGCAATTACCCAGAGTATACTGGTGTACACTATGCAAACAAATCTTATCTCCTCAGCCTTATGTAGAACCATGGATAGAATGCAAAAAAAACTTCTGGTGGGCTAGTAGTTCAACTATAGCAAGAAACTGCAATTTGAAATGGACAACAATATGCTCTCCAAAATCCTTGGGAGGTTTGGGAATAAGAAAATTCTCTTTGATGAACAAAGCTTTAATGCTAAAATTAGTCTGGAGACTCCTAAACTCAAGGAGCAACTTTTGGTCCTAGCAACTGGAAGCAAAATATTTCAAGGAAAAATGTATTTTTGAGTTAAAGGCAAAAGCCTCAGACTCCCTTTGGTGGAAATGTATTATCAAATTAAAAAATGAACTAAAAAATCACTTTTTTCTGGAAAATTGGAGATGGCAGATTTGTCTCAACATTTATGTTCCCATGGGTGCCTCAACTTAGGAGCAACATCCCGGCCAAAAGAATTGAAAGTCTTGAACTCCTCCACATGAAAGTATGTGAGCTAAACACAGATTATCAGACCTGGAATGCTGACCTTCTCAACAGCCTGTTTGAAGAAAAAAGTGCCGAAGCAATACTAAGTATTCCTCTAATGAACATGCAACAACCTGATAGACTTCTTTGGAAGAATACAAGCAATGAAGAATTTATAGTAAACTCAGCTTATCACTCACTCCTAGAAACTCCACCTCAAACACCAATAAGCTCTCTAAGCTGGCCTATAATCTAGAAAAGCCCATGCTCTCATAGATGCCAAACCTTCATGTGGATGGTTCTCCATAGAGCTATTCGAACTAAGACAAAAATATGGAGTTGTAGGAGAAAAGAAGAAACTGGGTGCACTTTCTGTAAAGAATCTCCAGAAACTCAAGAGCACCTTTTCCCGCAGTGCCCTCTCTCTAAGGCAGTCTGGGTTCAGGCTCAGGTTGATTTGGTTCCAGAAATCTTTTTGAATTCTGGCCAAGAGGACCTAATCCAGTGGTGGTGGCAGCATAATTCCCATTTGGAAAATAAAGTGATAAAGTATAACTATATTTGCAAAGATATGTGCCATCTTCAGAAGCATATGAGATGCAAGAAATGATCAAATATTTAACAAAGTGAACCCAGACCCCCTCCAAGTACTAAGAAAGGCTGAAAACTACTACAGTTACAAAGAACCAGGGCATAAACTCTTCAATCCATCAAATCCTCAATCAGAATGGGATTTACAATAAACTTTCTCCTCAGACTTTCCGGTCATTCTTGTTGATGGCTCATGGAATCCATTCACACAAACTGCATCTACTGGTATATATATGTTCACTCACAGGTCTCATCTTATCCTTGCAGAAGGAGAACCATGTTTGGCAAGATCCCCCCAGCAACAACTGAGTTCTGGGCCGTGATTAGAGGACTAAGAAAGTTTTTTGTATGGGTGTAAAGACAAGTTTTTTGTTTTCAAATGCTAAAGCAGTATTAACGAAGCTCAAAGGGACAGACAAGTAGATACCATGGGACCAACAAGCACTTTATGATCATATTTTGGAACTTCTATCTTTTTTTGAAAATATTAAAATCATGTATGTAAGCAGTGATGCCATTTTGCGAGCCCATGAACTGGCAAGGAGAGCTCGGCATATGAACTATTTTATAAATAGTTACGCCAGCTCGGTAAACCTCATTCATCTTTTTGTGAAACCATGTAAAGGGATCCAAATGTTCCCTTAACTTCCCCTTTAATGAATTATAGTTTTATCTTTGCAGAAAAAAAAAATGTTATCCTAAGGTTCAACTTCAACCATGGTTTTCAAAACCGAATTGGATCGGGAAAATTGGGAACCGGTCACCTAAACGGTTCTGTTTTACCCCAAAACCGTCATTTTGGCCAAAAATCGTTGATTTGGTCAGCAAGTCGCTGACTCTGGCGGTTGAACCATTTGAACCATCCAGTGGTTTTTGACCGTTTTTTATTTTTTATTTTTTATTTTTTAATTTTTTGTCAGAATGGGCCGTCTGTTTGGTTCAAACAGTCGGACCATCCGACCCAGGAACTGGACCCTGAACGGTTCATTGTCTGATTCAGTTTTAAAAACCTTGACTTCAACAATCAATAATCAGGGGTTAGATGACCTCATGTTTAATCCCATCCAAACTTAGATCCAGTCTCTCAAGCTAGAGAATTTCTTTAATTGTTTGTTAATTTTTTAAGCTGTATTTGGATTTTTAATCTAGTTAATGGCCTACATTGAGATAAAGAAATAAAATGTATACCGGGTTGGATAGAGATCCTGAAAAAGTTATAGAGGCAGCAAGTTGCAAGCCAAATCTTCTAATTTTATATGGCTTAGGGGCCAATAGTTTAAGTTTAGCTGTTTTATTTGTGTTTCTTTTCGATTAGTTTTGATTCTCCACCCAGAAGCCTCTCTCGGGCTTTGAAAAGTAATTAGTTAGGAGCGAGAAAGCTGATATGTTTTCACGTTCAAAGGAAAACTCTGAGAACTTTTCCAGATTGACATGTTGGGTAGAAACATCTCCAAGATGATAGGCCATCTGTAAAGCTGGTCTTTGGTGTTTGGTCCCGTTTAGCAGAGCTTTCATATTGTATCTTTAAAAGTCCAGATTGGCCGGAGAGGCGGAGACAAAATCATATACAGCGGGCTGGATAAATTATGACGAGTGAATACATTAGTGTTTCGTATATATAGGGCTCACATAAAATCCTATGTGGGCCCATATATAAGAAAAACTGACGTATTGACTTGTGATAGGTTGCCTAGCCTGCTGTACATGATTTTGTCCCCAATTCATCTGATTGATTCCCATCCAGATCTGCTGCTCATGTTGTAAGATAGGCTGCATGAGTATAACCAATCATGAATGAGACATGCCAACTTGTGATTGGTCATTAGCTTTGATGTACATGGTGGGATGAGTAGCAGATCCTGAGTGGCCGTTTGGGAGAAGCCACTAAAAAATGCATAAACAAAACGCCCTTCTTTTTTACTGTAAGACGGTAAATTTGGGCCTTCTGGATTTCTTATCAAGCTATATGCTTCACCATACGAAACCAAATTAAAAGCTGCCGTAGGAAAGCCCTCCCAAACAAGCTCAGCCATTTAAGCGGCTCTCAAGACCAACTTCTTAAAAACAGCTGTAACTAATAGCTTAGGAGATTATATTATCTTTTCATGGGTGGAGGAGGGAGATATGCTTTCTTTTGATTATTTGGGTCTCTCACTAACACTTTATTTTTTCCAGGTGAATTGAGGGGAATAAAGTGTCTAAGACTCAGAATATGGATCAAAAGTAGATTATTTTAAAGTGAGGGTCCAATGGATCACAGTATGTTCCTGCATCGTGAAACATATTAATCCACTTATTCATAGGTTTCGTGCATACGAGTTCTAAGCTTATTGGGATTGAAAACTAAGTTTTGATTAAGCTCTGATATTATATAAAAATTGGGTTCGGCGTCAATCAAAGCGTGATTGGTTCGAACATTACGAGATGATAACACGTGTTCATAAGCACGTGTGCATTTCTCATTCGTGCGAGAATGGTAAACGGGCATTTAACATGAATGCCGTTAGCCGTTCCTCGTTCAAAAGTATTTTTGTGAAAAATCTTTTGTTCTCTTCTTTCCCACCTATTTTCATTATCCACCCAAACTTTTTGTTTTGCTATCCTCTCCAACGGCGAAGGCAAAAGACGTCACCGGCCAAGGTAAGTTTCTTCCGGCGACCGGCGATAGAGGTTTAGTGTTTCTCTCCCTGCGGTGGTTCATTTGCAACTGAAACCCCAAAAAGGCAAAGGCATCACCGGCGAAGGCAAGCTTCTTCCGGCGACCGGCAACATAGATTTAGTGCTTTTCTCTCTGCAGTGGTTCATCTGTAACTGAAACCCCAAAAGGAAAAAGGCATCAACGAATTCATCTGCAATGCTTTCGTCTGCGGTGGTTTTAAGGCATCAATGGCTTGTGAAATACATAGACTCCAAAAACTACCAAGTTCCACAAGGCAAAGCTGCAGTTGAACTTGTTTCGGGAGCTTCAGCTGGGATACAAACAGCAACAGAGCTCAATAAGGGTACGACCTATAACTTGGAATTTGTACTTGGAGATGCAAACGATTCTTGTGTGGGAGATTTCATTGTGAGGGCGCAAGCAGGATCTACGTC